GCCACAATCCCTTCTCCTCCATTCTCCTCTCGGGATCTTGGGCACACACGCACACGTGCCCGGCGTGAGTTTTAAGCCACCGGGTCCGGGATGCGAACCACGGTCGACTACGTGGGAGTCCAGCGACATAGCCATTACGCTAACTACTGGTTCCCCAGCAACATGTTTTCAAGCCACCAGGGTCAGGTTTCAAACTATGTGATTAGCCATGTGGGATCTGTTTTCCTTAACCAGTAGGTCACAGGGCCAGCCCTTGTTTTTGTGTTTTTAAAGGATGGAAGGTGCTTGAACATTGCTATAGGAATAAAATGCATCTTTTGGTTAGAAAAGACACACATTCTGAGTGTTTAGTAAGAATGACAGGTCAGAGTGGAGTGAAATTCTAAAGGAGATTGGAGGAGGTGATTCAAGGCAAAGGTAGTGACAGTAAAAGAAATATTTCACATGATTGGAACATACTATAGGAATTCAAAGGAAGGCGGAAACTTCCTTGGGAATGGCCAGTCCAACCCCATAGAAGGGATCGAGTTGGACTTTGAAGCTTGGTATGATTTTGACAGGTAGAAAAGGCATTCTAGGAATGGAAAGTTGTATGGTGGGAAAGTTTAAGGTGTGCTCAGAGGAAGGCATGTTTATCAGTTTTATTGGAATAACCAGTTCATGTGAGGTCACAAGGAGACAGAATTGGAAAGATATGATTAGTTCACTAAGGACTTGCTTTCCAGACTAAGGAATTTGAATTTAGTCTTGCAGAAAATGAGAAGCCACTGAGAGTGTTTGACCAGGCAATTGACATTTTGAGAGTGCCCTTTCAAGAGACTTAATCTGGTATTGGATGGGAGATGGACTGAAAACAGGAGGAGCTGTCGACAGGGCAATCTGGAGGCTGCTGTGCTAGTTGCAGTGTGAGCTGTAAGGGCCTGCGCTGAAGTGATGGTAATGAAGATGCCACAACAGGAACCCTAAAGATAATCAGCCCATAAGAATAGACATAATTGGGAACCAGCAGTTAGCGTAATGGCTATGTCGCTGGACTCCCACGTAGTGGACCGCAGTTCGCGTCCCGGACCCGGTGACTTCAAACTCACACCGGGCGCGTGTGCGTGCGTGCCCAAGATCCTGAGAGGAGAATGGAGGAGAAGGGATTGCGGTGTGACCATCCCCCCTGGGGGGTGATTTCTCACTTTCTGTCTCTATGTATCTCTCTGTCTGTCTGGCGAGCGCACGCGCCCTATAGTGAAAACCTCTAAAAAAAAAAAAAAAAAAAAAAGAATAGACATAATTGGGGCCGGCAGGTGGTGTGGTGGTTAAAGGTGCTGGACTCCCACATGGCTGACCTCGGTTTGAGTCCCAGACCTGGCAGCTTACTTTCTCACTTTCTCTCTCACTTTCTCTCTATCCTTCTATGGTCAAATAAAAATAAATAAATAAATGGATAAAGATAAATAAAATAATTAAAGAAAAAAAAAGAACAGACATAATTTAGTGGTAACGCATTGCTGTATGAGCAGTCTGAGGATGGTAAAGGGCAAAGAAGCATCCATGTAACTCTTAGGAGTCTAAGCACAGAATGGTAACAGTCACGGGGGGAAGTCCTAACAAAGAGGTTCTCAGATGGAGAGATTCTAAGAAAGCTCTAGTCTACTGAGACCTCACAGAGTGACTCTAATACTTAACATAGGTCATTCGTTTTAAGCGAATATAATTTTTTGCTGTGTTTTTTTTCTGACTTCTATCAGAAAGCAGGAATTACATTTCAGATGGACAACCATTTGCCAAACCTCGTTAATCTCAATGAAGACCCACAGCTGTCAGAGATGCTGCTGTATATGATCAAAGAGGGAACAACCACGGTTGGGAAGTACAGAGCAGACGCGAGCCACGACATCCAGTTATCTGGGGTGCTGATCGCTGACGACCATTGGTACGTTCCTCGGGAAGAGCCCCCACTCCCTTCTCTGCAGACTTCCGTATCTTGATGATGGGTGGTTTCCTTCATACGGCACTTTCATTTACACTGATTCTTTGGTCTATTTCTTCAAACACTTCTTTTAGTCAGAAAAACACACGTTCTGAGTATTTGTAAGGATGGCACGTCAGCTTATCTCAATCTATGGTATAATATAATGCTCTCCATATTTTTGTTTGTTTACTTGATGTGTTGATGGAGGGATAATTTCTTTTTTTTTTCTTTATTTTTGGAGAGTTTTTTTTTTTTTTTTTTTGCTATAGGGCATGTGCGCTCACCAGAAAGACAGAGAGAGACAGAGAGACAGAAAGCAAGAAATCACCCCCCCCAAGGGAGATGGCCATGCTGTAGTCACTTCTCCTCCATTTTTCTCTCAGGATCTTGGGCACACATGCACATGTGCCCAGCGTGAGTGTAAGCTTCTGGGTCTGGGACTCGAACCACAGTCGATTACATGGGAATCCAGACATATAGCCATTATGCCAACTGCTGGTCCCGAGGGATAATTTATTTTCTTGGAATTGTAACTATGGGCATGAAAAGTTTATTATGAAAAGTTCATCTTAAATGCCAGAATTTTTCATTAGATTGACAAATTTAAAATTTTTTTTATGAATTTTATAAACGGAATGATACTCAATATATTGTTGGATTGAGTATATGTAAACTTTTTTTAGATCAATGATATATTTTCAAGATTTATCTGTATTGATCCTCTTGCATAATCTTTTTCTTTTTTATAATTATTTATTTAATTTTATTTATTCATTCATTTATTTTAATTTGACCAAAGAGAGACACAGAAAGAGAGAAAGAGGGAAAGTGAGAAAGTAAGCCATCAGGTCCGGGACTTGAACCATGGTCAGCCATGTGGGAGTGTCCAGCACCTCAACCACCATCCCATTTGCTGGTCCCCAGATCCTCTTTCATTTTTACTACTGTGAACTAATCTCTTGTATGAATTTGTCTCTAATCTGTCAAAAATCTCTCTATTTGGGGCTGGGTCTGTAGCCAAGGGTTAAGGGAGTTGGACCCCACATGACTAACTGCTGTTCAAATACTGGCCGTGGGGACTTGAAAAATACACTGGGAAATTGTGCATGTGTGCCCCAAATCCTGACAGGATTCAGAAATAGAGAAGACGGGATCGAGGTATGGGGGGTAATTTCTCTCTCTCTTTGGTAAGTGTATACATCCCAGACAATTAAAAATATTGATAGGCATTGGGGTTCTTTCTTTCTTTCTTTTTTTTGGGGGGGAGAGGTTTTTGCTATAGGGCGCATGCGCTTGGCAGACAGACAGAGACAGAGAGACAGAAAGTAAGAAATCACCCCCCTGGGGGGATGATCACGCCACAATCCCTTCTCCTCTATTCTCCTCTTGGGATCTTGGGCATGCACGCACACACGCCCACCATGAGGTTAAGCCACCAGGTCTTGGACTCGAACCGCGGTCAACTATGTGGGAGTCCAGCAACATAGCCATTATGCTAACTGCTGATCCTGGCATTCGGGTTATTTCTAATTTTTGCTACCGCAGTATTACTATTGGTTCAGCTGGTGGCGTGGTGGTTTAGGTGGCTGGACCCCACATGGCCAACTACATGATTCTAGGCATGGACCCAGTGGCTTGAAAAACATGCTGGGTATGTGTGTGTGCATGCCCAAAATCCTGAAAGGAGAAATAGAGGAAAGAGATTGTGATGTGATCACCCCCCATGGAGATGCTTTCTCCCTCTCCTCTCTCTGGTGAGCACACAAACACTGTAGCAAATTGAAATATACAAACACACACACACACACACACACACACACATATACACACATATACTGTTATGAATATTATTATTGTATTAGTCTGTTACTATATTGCTAAACAGAAATATCTGAAACTGGGTGCTTTGTAAAGAACAGAAGTTTGTGCTGGCCCTGTAGTCTAGTGGTTAAAGGAGTCAGCACCGACGTGGCCAACTGCAGTTTGAATCTCTGCCCTGGAGACTTGAAAATGCCAAGTACATGTGTGTTCATACCCCCAAATCCTGATAGGATAGAGAAATGGAGGAAAAGGGATGGCAGTGTGACCACAGCCCCATTGGGGAGTGCTTTCTGCCTCTTCCTCCCTCTCTGTTTCTCTGTCTGTCTCTGGGGAGTACACACGCTCTCTTGCAATTAAACAAAATGAAAGAATTTTATTTGGCTCATGAGTCTGAGGCCAAGTGGGTTACAACATAATGTAGAGAAGCAGGCAGAGAAAGAGAGAGAGAGGGTGAGAGGGAA